TGCAACGTGCTCCGCTATTCGTGGGAACCACACTCCACCTGAAAACAGTCAAGAGCTGTGTCAGGGGCACAATCAGGATCAATTTGCCAGATGAATGGCAACCCAGATTGTTTTGTTGCGTGTCAACATGGTCATCCTCCTTCTGCCGGTTCTCGCCGGTGGCGCTCCAGGCGGCACTGCTCCGGTGTAAGCCCTGGTTGACGCCGGGCGCGTTGCGCGGCCTCCAACGGAGCCTGCAGGTGTGGAGTCTGAATGGGTGGAGCCACAGAGCGGTATGGAGTCGCATGGAGTAGGGAGATTCTCCTCAAAGGGGTTTGAAGAATCATGAAGCGGGGAGGGCTGTGGCTGTGACCTATCGTGGGTATCTAATTTAGAGTTAGGGGAGGGGATACATGTTTGCGTGGGAGCTGCGCTTGACGAAGTGCAAGTGCTTGAGGTGATCTGCCACAGTAGAAACATGTACAGTAACATGTTAATTAAACCATATTAAACCCGTTTCTGGCATCGACTTCGGTCTTGCAACCTTATCGAACGTGGTGTTGCAGTTCATTTTGAATGACCTGGACCAAGCTGAGTGGGCGCCATTTTGTAACAAGTTTTGTTAACATTCTAGCTTGTCCTGAATGTGCTTTGCGCATTGACATGACAAAGGCAGGTCCATTTTTTTGCCAACCAAGCAGGTCCTTTTGACCACCAAACGTATACTGATACTGCAACTACAAACTCTTGCCTGGCAAACAGAGTTTGAAGCACCGCAAAACTGCTGCAGACAAGGAAATAGCTGCATGAGGCAACACACCATGCTAACGGACTGGTGAGAAGTGGCTTTGCCCTTCGAATGTGCCAGATTGAACAACATATCGTGAAAGAGAACAAAACACCCAAGGTTGTGTAGGAGCAAACAGCTGTCGAGTTCAGTGCTATGGCCACATTTTGCTCATGCGATCATGTGCACACTGTCATCACAACGCTTTACCTGTCTTGAACTGTTTTCCAGGCACAGAAAACTCCACCGCTCTCCCTTGACAATGCTCAAAAAGACACCGGTTTGATGCCACCGAACACATCACACCTGTTCCACCGGGGAAAACCGTCCCGACACGTTGTCGCGCCCCGCGTTCAGTGCGCCCAACTGAAGCACACGGTGAGTCGCTACAAAGACATCGATTCCGTCGATCAGTTCCCCCCGGATGGAGATGGAGGGATTTGGGGAGGGAGAGGGCATGGTGGCCAGGGATGGTGGTGATGTCCATGATCGGGTTTGGTTTAATGGTTTAGTTTGATTGTTTGGGCGGTTGAACACCAAGCAATTGTCGATAATTTTTAGGAGTGAGTGACCAGACTGGATTGGATAAAGAGCGGCGGAAGTTTGCAGCACCTCTAACTCTTGGAAATCCTGTCTTGATATGTCTTAATTTTTTGTTTCGGTCCAACGGAATCATTTGGCAGAAGCTTTTGGACAGTGACCTGGAGCCAAGTTAGAAACCGTTTGATCGTGTTTGATCCCATCCCCGGTGCAAGTGCATGGCAGTGCATGGCAATGCATGGCAGTCCCCGGTCAGTCGAGAAAACACCCCACTTTTCGCCTGGCTTTGAACAAGTAGGGACATGCTGAAAAAGACATTCCAACCTTTGGGTCGCTTTCTCCCCCAAAAAACATCGTTTTCTACGGAGTGCCAAGTATCCAAACATCCACGGCAGATGAGTACTTGAAGCTGCACAAACATCGCTCCCCCCATCACCGACCCGACCATCTGTCCGCTCCGGCCCGTGGTGACCACCGGTGCCAGCTGCGACGGCGAAGAAAAGGACGAAGGACTCAGTGGTTGAAGATGGGCCACGGCTCCGTCACTTTTGTTTTGAACACTTTTTGGAGTGAACGAGGAAGGCCAAGCAATCACGAGAAGAACGGAACTCACCAGCTGAAGGCTTCGTTCAAGAAGCTGAGGTACCCTACAGGCCAATGATGGAAAGGGGGTGTTGTCCTGAGAAAGCCTCACGAACCACTTCCTTTACAAAAAGGACAGGAAAGCAACACCTGCTTTGTGGTGATCAATGATTACCTAGCATTCTCGGTCCATGTCCATCACCCGAAGAAACACATGAACTCTAAACAAATGACTGTATCCTCCAAGATGTCTTTGTTCCTCTGGAGCACCTCACACCAGATCCTTCTGAAAAAAACAGACAGTCAGATCTGCGCACCGAACACCTTGCAAGACCGTTTTTGGGGTGGTTTCCCGCGACGCCGGCAGCTTCCCGCCCCCCGCCGGTGTCCCTGCGGGGCCGCGAACCGGAGGTACGGCTTCTCGGTGCCAGTCACGGTGCCCTGGGCAGAGCTGGACCTGGATCACGTGATCAGTGCTGGACAGGCAGACACGGCTCGCACCCGGTTCTCCCGAGCGCATCGGCGGATCAAAATACACGGCGAGGCAAAAAAAGGGCCCCTCACCAAATGGAGGGAGAGCTTCTAGTCCCACTCAGTGGATTGCAGGAGCTTTCAGGTTGAGAGACTGGGTTAAGCCAGTGACCTCACCCACGCCCAGATCTCCACCGAGTCGAGACCCCCCAAAGGGAGCCCCATTATTGGGGGAACCCTGAGAGCCACGAGGCCGCGGCCGGTCCGCGGTGATGGGACCGCTTCAAAGCTACGCCCCTGACCTCGGCCGTGCAGCGTCCGCGTTGCGGCGCAGACCTGCTGGGGAGACCCGGACTATGACTGGATGTCTTTGATCTGAACCATGTTTTCACCGTGGAGATTGGAAGGGTCCATCGGGCCACCCATCGTTCCGAGCCTGCATTTTCCAGCCTCAAAGGCCCACAAAGACGATAGGAAGGACGTCTGACTGTCTGACCAAGGAAGCCAGTATGTGCGACATAGGCGGATGCCCAACTAGAGGCTGTAGTTGGGCAGCATCTTCATGTGGAAAATACATGACTTGTGCGCTGAAACTCAAGGATCTTTGGAACGGATGACACTGCAGCTTTGGAGCTCGATGTTTGGATCCTTCGGTCCTTCTAACCAGTCATAGATCCAGCTTCGGTCCTTCAGTCTGGGGGTTTTGGATCGGGTCTTTTTGGATCCGATCCTGTCAGGTCTTCTCTTCAGAGGAAGCGCAGCACGACAAGGCGGGCGTCCGACGAACGGAACCGGAGTATTTCTCACCCAGGGTTATGGGAAGAGGGTGCTAAGAGGGGGAACAAATGGATGAGAATTACTTTAAGCGTTATAGTTAACATGTTCAATACATTCAGATAGAATTCAATAAATCTAGTTATTTACTCTTTGCATTTGTTGTTTGACTCTCCAAGGAACTCTCTCTTTCTGAGAGATTGAGACTGGACACTTCCACTGGTAGAGGCAAGGAGTCTTTCGCCGCCCACAGATTTTCGATTTTGAGACCTTCTCTTGTATTTTCCCGCCTGACAGGTTAGGGTCTCTAGAGTTTATGTCAGTGGTTCGTCCGGCGCCCCTGCTTCCTCAGCCTGCCTTCCCGCCATCTCGCCTTCCATCTTGCCTTCCTTCCCGCCTTTGCTCTGCCGGAGTTCTGCCAGTGCGGGGTAGTGCGTGCTGGACATTTGGCGGAAGAAATGACAGAGACAAGGTGACTGAACACATATCATAACACAGCAAACGTCTGAATTAGTAGCACATGCCAGAACACTGAACACTGGCACATATCAGAACAAACGTCAGAACACTTGCCAGACGTGATGCCATAACAAATGTCAGAATACATGACAAAACGAATGTCAGAACTCATATCCAAGCAGAAGCCATATGCCACTAGACATGCCACATTTGATGCGAGAGCACATGTCAGAAGTACATGCCAGAAAGTACATCAGAACACGTAAGACTTCACGGCAGGACAATTGTCAGAACACATGCCTTTTTTTCGGCTGTCAGAACACATTCAGAACAAACGTTCCAAGTCGCCTTTTAGGGTGGGGATCACCCGAGTCAAAATATGGTCGAAATGAATTGTAGGCCTGTACCCCCTCAAAGAGGGAGTTGATCTGTAGAACGCAATGAGTTGAAGCCGCCGATGCACAACAAATCATCCACCTCAAACTGGGGGTTCGTCGTTCCAAGATCCGACTGACCTATACAATCAGGACATCAACTGCCTGGCAGCTCTACAACTTTGAAATTCCGATGAATCCTTACTTGGATGACCACCGATATTTCATGACAGGCAACCAGCAACAATTTTCATCTTCTTTGCTGCATGTTTTGCAGCATTTGTCACATACAGTGGCCATATAATTACTCATTTTATGGATTATTTCCGGTTGCATTGTCGCAAACAATCATGTCACTTCAACACTGAATCACCTCCACAGACTTTGAGCACCTTTCCGGGCCTGAGAGAAACTCATGCCGCAAACTCGCCCAGACGTCTCCGCCCCTCCCGTCGACGTCCCCCGAAGCGGTTCTGCGGCGGGTTCCGCGAGCAACGTTCCGGTGCTGGCCGTCGAGCAGGTGATGCACCTTCGGAAAGTAGGGCTGCAGGTTTCTCCGCGACCTGGGCGCGACCTCGTTCCGTGCTTGGGAGGATTCTTATTGGAAAAGAAGCGGCCAGTTGGCCCAAGGGAGACACATCGTGTTGGTAGTCCACTGGATGGGTCCTTCTGTTTTGACCAACTTGATCTCTGTGATCTCTGTGACTACCAGCAGATGTTCGATCTCTTTGGCAGCTGACAGCTGTGGTTCTAGTGATACTGGAAATTCCCCTTTCACATGAGAGAACAACGAGACTCCCCAGCATTGCCTTCTGGTCTGAGCGTTCCGTGTTTGTTTGTTTCTTCGGGGCTTTGTGCGTTCTTCAGGGTTTTGTGTGTGTGTGTGTGTGTTGCGTTCTTGGTGTTTCTTTCTGAGCTGGAAGGGCTGAAGATCTGAGAGACAAACACTGTTGCCAGATTTGCTCAAGCTCCTTGATTGACTAGGGTACTTAGTTTCCATACAAACGGTAGTAGTGAAGCTGGTAGATCCGCTGATGGCATCGACTTCCTCCGCTACTACAGAGGAGGGTGGACTGCACAGCGAGTTCCGTGTACCGGTCACAAGGGCCATCCCAGTGCCTCGTTTCGCCACGGTCACGATGCATCAGCTGGGGAAGTGCATCCCGTGCCGCTTTTTCGCCTTCAAGGAGCGCGGTCGATCGGGTCCCCAGTCACAGTCGATCGGGTCCCGGGGGCGGGGCCGTCGTTTGGGTGGCGGGGTAGCCGCTACGCGCGACCGATCGACGTTTGGGAAGTCTAGAACAGTCCTTTTGGACGTCGTGTTTTGGATCAGAATTCGATGTGTTGTGGTCCTCACCTATCATTTTTTCTTGATGTGTTGTGGCTCTGGACTCCTGCTTTCGGGGCGGTTAAGAGTTCTTAAAGCAACCCATGGGATTACATCGGACCTTGAGATATGTTTAGACCCTCTTCTCAAAAGACATTGGGTCGAAGAAACGGCCTGGAGTTCGGTGTTCCGCCCGGACGACTCGTGGGTGACCTTCATGTTTTCAATCATCGACTCGGCAGTAACCAGGACGATGGGTGTCACAAAGGCTCCAAGTGCGAGTTCTGCCACCTCTGTGGTCCAACTGAAGCTCTGCGTCGCTCCAAGAAGGTGCACACAGCACGTAAGAAGCAAGAAGAGGCCGTGTTGCGCCGCGAAGCTCACACCGGTGCCGACCGCTCGCAGACCGGTGCTGTCGTCCGGACGAGACCAGCGACTTGTGGCAGATGGAGGGTGGGTCGAAAAGGATGAAAACGAGTGAAGACCGGTGAACTATGTATGAAAGCTAGTAGGTTGGAGGCCATCGCTCTTAGGTTGGACAGCTGCTAATCGATCAGGACCGGGGAACCAACGGGAAAGGTGGGATTGAAACGTAGCCACGTGGTTCCGTCTGTTTGGTCCCCAGTGATGAACAGTTACAAAGCCGAGAAGCACTCCCATCTTGTGAACCCAAAAAGGTCGTTTTGCCGAACCTGGGAGTTGGGAATCCTCTCGAGACCCAATCTCTCTTTTTGAGCCGAGGCCCATAATTACAAAATAAAATCAGGCCGATGGAGCCACTGGCGGCATGTCTATGGACATTGAAAAGAATCTACTTTATATATAATATCATGGTCATATGTTATTATGCTGTCAAGATAATCTGTTGACACTCGTCGTGACACATCTATCTATATTACTATATAATTGTGATGTGTGTTTGCATTGGTTTGCATTGGTTCGGGTCTGACTCCCAAAACAACCAACAACTATGTCCGGGCACATCCGGAACAAGAACATTTCCCCCATCGAATCTTGCCTTGAGCGGTGCGACCGATACAGGCTGATCGACCGCAGGTGGGTCACAGGTTCACCTCCCAGTGAGTGCGGTCATGTTCACCCGTCTTCACTCGATAGCCATACTAGCCTCCAACCTAAGAGCGATGGCCTCCAACCTAAGAGCGATGGCCTCCAACCAAAGAGCGATGGCCTCCAACCTAAGAGCAATGGCCTCCAACCTAAGAGCGTTGGCCTCCAACCTAACAGCGATGGCCTCCCATCTAATTGCGATGGCCTCCAACCTAATAGCGATGGCCTGAAACCTAAGAGCGATGGCTTCAAACTAAATAGGGATGGCCTCCAACCTAAGAGCGATGGCCTCCAACCTAAGAGCGATGGCCTCCAACCTGCGAGCGATGGCCTTCAACCCAAGAGCGATGGCCTCCAACCTAAGAGCGTTGGCCTCCAACCTAATAGCGATGGCCTCCAACCTAATAGCGATGGCCTCCAACCTAATAGCGATGGCCAACCTAAGAGCGATGGCCTCCAGTCAAATAGCGATGGCCTCCAACCTAATAGCTTTGGCCTCCAACCTAAGAGCGATGGCCTCCAACCTGTAGCGATGGCCTCCATGCAACCTAATAGCGATGGCCTCCAACCTAAGAGCGATGGCCTCCAACCTAATAGCGATGGCCTCCAACCCAAGAGCGATGGCCTCCAACCTAAGAGCGTTGGCCTCCAACCTAACAGCGATGGCCTCCAACCTAATTGCGATGGCCTCGAACCTAAGAGCGATGGCCTTCAACCTAATAGCGATGGCCTCCAACCTAATTGCGATGGCCTCCAACCTAAGACAGCGATGGCCTTCAGCCTAAGAGCGATGGCCTCCAACCAAATAGCGATGGCCTCCAACCTAATAGCGATGGCCTCCAACCTATGGCCTCCAAACCTAATAGCGATGGCCTCCAACCTAATAGCGATGGCCTCCAACCTAATAGAGATGGCCTCCAACCTAATAGCGATGTCCTCCAACCTAATAGCGATGGCCTCCAACCTACTAGCCATGGCCTCAACCTATATAGCGATGGCATCCAACCTATGAGCGATGGCATTCGACCTAATAGCAAAGGCCTCCAACCTAAGAGCGATGCCCTCCAACCTAATAGCGATGACCTCCAACCTAACCTAATAGCGATGGCCTCCAACCTAAGAGCGGTGGCCTCCAGTCCAAAAGCGATGGCCTCCAACCTAATAGTGTGGCGTCCAACCTAATAGCGATGGCCTCCAACTAAGAGCGGTGGCCTCCGACCTAAGAGCGGTGGCCTCCAACCTAATAAGGGTTTTGTAAAGAAAGTGTGCACTGACTTTTGGACACTTTTGGAAACCTTAAAGACTAAAGAGCTTAGGTAAGTAAAGCAAATCAAAAGGAAAAGAAAGGGAATGAGTACAAGTTTACCTAAAGCAACATATTTTTTGAAGCCTGAAATCTCTAGACATTATTCTAGGGGCCCCCCTAAATAATGTCAGAAAGCTGCTTGCTGGACTACCCTCTTTGCTTGAATTACTTTTTTTTCCAGTACTTTTGAATAAGGGATTTTGTAAAGAAAGTGTGCACTGACTTTTGGAAAGTTTTGGAAAGCTTAAAGACTAAAGAGCTTAGGTAAGTAAAGCCTCCAAAAGCATCAAATCTCAATGGAAATCTCTAAATTTTGAATAGAAATCTCCATCCAGAAGCCTCCAAAAGCATCACATCTCAATGGAAATCTTCAAATGTTTAATAGAAATCTCCATCCAAAAGCCTGTAAGATAAGCAAATCCCAGCAAACTCAAAAGGGAAAAAGTAAACTATAACTATAACAATTAAACATATTCCACTACAACTATCCCTGTCAAAAAAAGAAATACATTATTCTGGGGGCCTTTATTAATCAGTGCAGGGAACAAAAATGATATTAGTCTAGGGGCGGTTATTAATCAGAGGACCACATTAGCCTTGTCAGAGTATGTCTCAGAGTAGATTGATAACATGCCTCTTTTGGGGCGATGTGGTGTCCCAAATCCCACCATTTCCCATGCCAGGTTCCATGAGTCCATGACATTCCATGAGTCCATGAATGACATTCCTTCAAGGTCACCTTCAGCTTCTGGCTGTGACCGTGACCGTTGGCTGAGCCTCCGGAGGTGTCGCTGTTTGGATGCGTTCAAAATCGCGACCGGACCGCGCTTCAAGGGCCCAATTTCAGGGTGGGCTGCAAGGTAGTGAGATAGATTTGTCATCCAAATAGGTTGGGTGTTATCCAGCTTGGTCTTCTTGACCAAGCATGATCACAGGATGATCAGATGATTTGTGGGTCAAGGCGTCCAATTTCAGACCTGTAAGGATCAAAGTTTCCTTGTCTGACTCAGCTTTTTGCACCAAGACAACCATCTCTCGTTTTTGTACCTCGAGTGTTGCCCTGTGGATCCCAATTCAATGCTCAGATGAGCCATGTGAGCTCATTGATCGTGTGGCCAGTGTTGGAAAATAGGACAACTTCTCGGTCACACGATCACATCGTCAGAACCGTTCTCCTCGGTGTTCAGTCGCGCGCTGCGCACGTTTCACCGGCCGGTGCGATCACCGGACGTGGGTTTGTCTTGTCTTTTCGACTCAACAGGTCTTAGGGTCTTACGTTGTTTGCCAAGACACGGCTGGTATCTCTTGCTCATCCCCATCTGTGAAGAGTGCCATGGGGAGATTTGAATTGTACAAGACCCAGTGGCCAAAAAAGTTTTGATTTGCTTCCTTTCAATCAGCAGGTCGGACCTGTGCCCAGCGCCCAGTTTCGGCTCCTACTCGTGTGACCCGCCAGTTGCCATGCATGATGCGTTCGGAGTGAGACAAACCTGTTTGAACACTGTCGACCTTTAGTTGACATTTCTCGGGTATGTACCATTACCAGCGAGAGTCGCTCAAAGACGATGCACGGATTTGGGAGAGGCCTTGACCAAGGACAGGATCATCATGTTACAGTACTGGTAATGGAACAATGCCCAAGGCATTTGTGTGATTCCATCGCTCCTAAGAGAGCATGATAGGTCCGCATCTTGGGGAAGCACAAGAATTTGTCCGTGCACCTGGAACCCCAAAGACCTCGCTTGAACTAGTGGAGCGACATGGAACAATCATGAGCAATCATTTGAAACTGTTTGGGATCAGGCTGAGTTTGGATTTTGGCACCAAATTCATTACCTCAGCTTCAACGGACTTGTGCAACAGCCCTCGTGCAGATCCAAATTCAATGCTCAAATGAGCCATAAGAGCTCATTGATCGGGTGGACGGTCGCTTTCACACCCTCAGAATGTTTGAGCAACTGCATCGCCATTCTCTTGGGTGTTTAGTCGCGCGCTGCGCACGTTTCACCGGCCGGTGCGATCACCGGCCGTGGGTTTGTCTTGTCTTTTCGACTCAACAGGTCTTAGGGTCTTGCGTGGTTTGCCAAGACACGGCTGGTATCTCTTGCTCATCCCCATCTGTGAAGAGTGCCATGGGGAGATTTGAATTGTACAAGACCCAGTGGCCAAAAAAGTTTTGATTTGCTTCCTTTCAATCAGCAGGTCGGACCTGTGCCCAGCGCCCAGTTTCGGCTCCTACTCGTGTGACCCGCCAGTTGCCATGCATGATGCGTTCGGAGTGAGACAAACCTGTTTGAACACTGTCGACCTTTAGTTGACATTTCTCGGGTATGTACCATTACCAGCGAGAGTCTCTCAAAGACGATGCACGGATTTGGGAGAGGCCTTGACCAAGGACAGGATCATCATGTTACAGTACTGGTAATGGAACAATGCCCAAGGCATTTGTGTGATTCCATCGCTCCTAAGAGAGCATGAAAGGTCCGCATCTTGGGGAAGCACAAGAATTTGTCCGTGCACCTGGAACCCCAAAGATCTCGCTTGAACTAGCAACGGACTTGTGCAACAGCCCCCTCGTGTTGCGACGTGTAGCAACGATTGGTTTGAGCAGCGGTTTTCTGCCAAAAACAACTGGTGCCAAAACCGGAGCTCCGAGCATGTTTCCCCGCCGGGTCTTCGGCAGGTAATGAAGAACTTCACAAACCCTCAGGAGCTGGCCCTTCACCAAACGCGGATTACATTTGGTTGGGTGTCTAGTTTGTCCTTTGAGCTGAGTGCAGGCACCGAGTGCTAGGCACAAAGGCACATTGTTCAGTATAGTTGATGAATTCCTTAGGAGATTTGAGGTGCTACCAGTTTTCTTCGTGCTTTCAGAACGGGGATCCTTCTGATGTGTGACTCTACGGGGTTCAGCATCAGTGAAGGCTCAACTGCATTCACGCCTGGGTGAACATCAAAGATGGAGGATGCCATTCTGATAGGCACGACTAGAGACTTTCGTGCGCACGACCTTTTTCTTTGCTACAGGAGGACTACTCTCTTCGAGTGAACCTGGAAGTGGTGTTCATGACCTATTCGGTGTTCGGTCTTCATGGTCCTCCCTGAATAACCATCGATGGATCTCCAGGGCCAGGGAGTGTAGAACTCATTGGTTTCTCAGGGTCCGCAGTTGTACCTTTGTGACGAAGAACGTCACCCGGTGTCGCTGAGCAGACCAGGCTTTCAATTACATGATCACTTGTGCCAGGCGAAGAGGCATTTGAGCAAAATCCGAATTTCATTGGTGAGACCTCTCGAATGAACTTCAAGATGCTTCAAGTCGCTTCAAGCCAAGTTTATCAAGAAGGGTAGTTTAAAAGTTTAAATGGGCAAAAGAAAAGCAAATCATGCAGTTCAAAGATGTTGCGCTGCCTCCTGTAGCCAGTCACCAGGACCATCCAGGATCCACCCTTGAAACATCATACCATAGCATCATATAGCATCCATAGCCAGATTGATTGTCGCTCTCCAGCATGTTGAAGCCACAAACATGGAGCTCCGGATGTGGCTGGTAAAATACCCATGTATATAGTACTCCCCCAGGCCTATAACCGTGCCTGAAATCGCAACAAGAGCGCGGATCGAAAAATATACAACTCCCTGGCGAAGGAGATCTTTGGATGGAATGTGTTGGATTGGGGCGTCCAGCTTCGCAGATCCCCAGAGCTATCGGAGTCATGTTACTTCAGTTCTACTACATAAGAAGATGCGACCTTCCTATGGGAATATACATTATATATATATACATATGCCCATACAGGACTCGTGGTTTGCACCCCAAGCTTTTTGAGGGGGCAGCAAATTCCCTCCAAAAAAAGAACAGCGAAAGGGACTTTTGGCGTTTGAAGCTTTGCCATCGGTTTTGTCGGATTCGATGACTGGGATGTTAAAACATGAGGATACTTTCTCTCCAAAGCTATATATGTTTAACCATCACCAAGTGCTCAGCAATTCCGTTCGAACAAGAGTGCAAACCCTCAACCCTAAACCCTAAAATCCTAAATCGACAATCCCTCTAGTTGATGTTCAAGGGCGAGCCATGTGTCCTGGCACCAAGCATATACATTATAGTGATCAAAGTGAACTTTGACCACCAACTGGGTTTTGCTGGCTTCTTGGATATTGGATTTGATGCACTTTTGGCGGCAGGTAGAAGTTTGTGAGCCTGGGGCACTGTGTGTGCACACCTCTGTTTCCAAGAGATTCTTCGATATGGATTTTACTGATAGGGGTTTTCAATGGAGCAGGGAGGCAGTGATCCCTTCAGTAGTCACTGCCAAACAAAGACACTGCCGATCGGATGTGACATTCGGAGAGGACACTCTCTGAACGTACCTGCGCTTGCGATTCTTGAGAACCTAGATAGAGCAAAAAGCTGTTCCACTCAGGTGTTTCCAGCATTGCAGCAAAGGTCTAGTGCATCGGCGAATCACTTACTGAACTTTATGCCAACTTTATGCTCATTCATTTGAGCTCAAAAGTTGGCACTCCAGGCCATTCGGCAGAACAAGGTGGGCGTGGTCTTGCTGGCTGGAGGCCTGTTCTTCGGAAGAAGAGGGGCACGTTCTTTTGGGAGAGTGGTTGGGCTGCACTTTCGGTGTTTGAGGTATGTAAATTTAGTTCAAGTCAGGGTGAATGCTCACTATTTATTAATAGTAAATATTATGTAGTCAATTCACAACTCTACAATTTGGTCCACACTTAACAGATCCAATCTACGTAAGCTAGGACAAACCTCCCCCCAAAATACCGATATTCATTGTTTTGTTTCATTCTTGCAGGGCATCATTCTGCTAACCGGAGGTGGCTTTCGGAGGCTTAGTTTTTCAGCTTTTGGAGGTGTTCCCATTTAAAACAAATCTAGCCAATCATGGCATGTGGAGGTTTTGTGAATGCACGTTACGCTTCAAGACTAGAATGCCTCCTCCAAAACAATTTTTGGGTGGTTTTTTCTCATTATAGGTACTTACTAGAATCACAACCAATCGCAACCAATCATACCGTTAAACCAGGTGACATGCTGGATGCACACACTTGGGATAGAGTTCGTACGAAGGCCAAAGGTCTGGAAGAAACCTGGCCTGAATAGACAGGTCAAATGTAACGGGGTCCAAAAGTATCATGAAGTTTCATGAAGTTGCAGAAACAACAAAGGTTTGAGAAAGTAAAAGAAAGTAAAGACTAGTAAAGAGATAGTAGATTAGTAGATCAGAGATATAGGTATATATTTTACAATTCCAAACGCATCTAAAATGTCCAAAGCTTCGAAGTGTCATGAAGGTCTGGAATCGGTGAGTAAAGGCCATTCCCGTTGTTCTAATTAGAAGGGGAATGGACATCATCTCTACACTGGAGTGATCAAGTCCGGTTTCCACCATTACCCATAGTTTCGTTGGCCTGCGTTAACGTAATGGCCGCATGCTTTGTGCTATTGCTTGTGAAAAAACAACTTGTGAATCCAAAGCATACACACACACACACGTTTCCTGTTCCCCAGTGGCACAGAGCCACACAAGCACACTTTCAATCAAGGCCTGCCCAAAACGCATGGCCCTATCAAAATCTGACGAACCATCAGCCTGATGGAAACTGTACAAGCTAAATTAAGATAAACTAAGCATGGTTTTTGTAAAGGGAAAAGGACTAGATCCTTCGATTTGGAGCTGTTGTTCAATTTTGATACTTCACAAGGGGGAAAACAAAAAACAATAATATATAT